GTGTGTGTGTGTGTGTGTGTGTGTGTGTGTGTGTGTGTGAGAGAGAGAGAGAGAGAGAGAGAGAGAGAGCTTCACTTGTATTCTTCCTTCTTTCCCTCTTTTTTCAACTACTATTTTTTAAAAAATTATTATATTTTGTATTTTAATTGACTGTACTGTTTCAAGATTTGTTCTTGAAATGAGAAATTATCTACAAACACATTAAACAAATAGCATTCATAGGGAATTATTTCATCTTTATGGTATTCAGTGATTTGCTACCAAACATCAGCAAAAAAAGTTTGGAATGTTAAAAGTAAAAAAACAGATTGGGGGGAATATGTTAGTACAAAACCAAAAGAATGGTATATTTTTCCCTTTCAGGATATTACTATACACATACATTTAAAAGCAATAAAAATAACACCATTTCAGTAACATTCTTCTCTATCCTTAGAGTACCTGTATAATCTGGAAGTGGATCATATTTCCTGTAACCAGCAGTAAGAATTTTGATTCCACCAAAATCTAAAAAAAATGCACAAAAAGTTATTGCCAAAAAGGAATTGGCCCACACTCTTATAAAGGCATCTTCCACCTAACAAACCAGTAACATATCCCGAAAACATTTCTCTCATATTAGGAGGTTGGTTATAGTTATATTTCCTCTGAAGACATCAGGTTGTGTAGTCTATCAAACACGCTGACTGGATATGATGGGAATTATAGTCCTAACACTTCTGAAAGCCACAGCAGCTTATTTGAGACTGAGAAAAATTATGCTCAACAGCACCACCTACTTATACTACTAATGGGCAAAAACCATGTTAGAATATCACATTAAAAGAAAATCATAATGAATTAAACACAAAAGGTTGGCCAATTAACAGAATAAACTGCTATAAAGTTCCCATCCATTGTTTCTTGTCCTGCCCTCTGATGCTTTGGAAAATAAATGGACACCTCCCCCGCTTCTTTGTGGCAGCCCTTCAAATACTGGAATACTGTTATCATGTCATCCCTAGTCCTTTTTTTCTCTAGACTAGCCCTATCCATTTCCTGCAGCCGTTCTTCGTAAGTTTTTGTCTCGAGAGCTTTAATCATCTTAGTTGCTCTTCTTTGCACTTTTCCCAAAAGTCTAGACTTGCAGTGGGTAAGGACAATTTATAACCGTTAACGTTTGTCTCCTTTCACAACTATTATAGATACGAAGTAGCTGCCTTTGCTGTAGTTATCACGCGTAGTTCGAGCCGTATGCGTGCTAGAGAGACAGGCACGGAATAGGAACTCAACAATTTCACGCCATATCCCTGAAAAGGGTGGTGGTGGTGTTTGGCTCTTGTTGCTGCACGGAAGATTTAAGGACTGCACTGAAAAAGGCACAAAGCGTTTCATTCTCCCTCCATGATTCTTAACGAAGACGGCTCGACCCCCTTCTGACCTGTCGGCGTCTCCGCGAGGGCGCTTAAAGGGCGCCTAGCCAGCCTCCACATTCCCTTAATCCCGAAGACGAGCCACCCTTGTAGAAACACCGGGCTGGGTGATCCCTGCTATGATCGCGCCGACAAAGCAACGGAGAAAGCTGCCTCCTCTTCTGCTGTATTGTGAACGGCACGAGTCTAACCCACCCGGGCAGCAACGCTTCCGTCGGGAAGATCTCAAGACATGTCCACGGAAACAAGCGCTGCGACATTTTGGTTCCGGGAAAGGCATGCGTGACGCCGCTGGGGTGGCGGGGAGGGGAGAGAGAGAGATAGTCTGCTGAGAAGGGGAATTTAGATTCATCCAGTATTTCTTGTATATTTTTGATATACCGAATTAATTTATTTTCTGTGACATTACGGCGAATAAGGGTGTGTGTATGTGGTTTGACAAAATAACAATGCTGTACTGAAACAGCCTAAATTCGTGGCAGTAAATCATCCTGCATCTTTAATATCAACAGATATTAAAGGCGCAGAGTATAGTTATTACAGCCTGTTGGTGTTTTATTTTAAAAAATAAAACCAGCTGGATCCTGTCTTCTGATTTCTACATAGCATTTTGATATTTTAGAATAACATTTAATAAATGTATATCAGATATGCAAAATACTTGTGATGGTATTTGTAGTTGCTTGAATGTTCAAGGGATGCCTCGAGGAGTATTACTGCTGATGTTAAAGCTATATTGACAAAACATCTGAGAATAAATTGTAATGACTTTGAAAGTGTATACTTTGGTGTATTTCTGCATTAAATGTCATCCAAATGAATTGTAAAACTGCTGTACATTAAAACAGTGGTCCCCAACCTTTTTATCGCCGCGGACCANCACCCAGAACACAAATGAGACATGTGTGATGTTTACTATTCACCAAAAAAAAAAAAAAGAGAGAGAAATGAAGCACCTAGTTTATGTTCTGCACTTACAAGTCTCAACCTTACCTTTTAACATTCAATTTCTTGATTCGGAACTACTATACATCATGGTCACATTTTTTCATCCATATTTACATTGCCCTTGGTAAAACAGAGAGATGAGTTTCTTGCATCATGCAAGTGACATGGCAAGGAATAAAGAGGAATATGAAGAGTTCCACTCAATTTGAGTGTTGTAAATCATTCATGTAAGTAGTTAAATGCTTCCATTCATCTGAATACAACATATATTCTCTGTATGGTCATCTTTTCTACCCTTCTAGTAATATGTGACTTTCTTGCCAAGGCTACTAAATGACACTAATGTCAGTAGCAGTGCACTGAAAATGGTCTTGATTGCTATAATATTTTGCTGATAATTTTTAAATAACAGAAGGCTTGTTTCTTTTCCTGCAACTGTTCGCAAACCAAGCTAAGCTTAGCAGCTTAAAATAAATACGTTCCTTTTCTATTTAATTTCCATGCTTAAATTAACAAGAAGGCACTAGAAAGTCAACAGCTGAATTAATTTTATATTACAGTTCCAGGCCTTGGGAAGGGAAGAGGGGATTTCTTGCTCAAATATAATTTTGACTGTCCATTGAAACTCTCTTCTGATGTGCATTCAACATGTAGACCTCAAGGCATGACTACATTTCTTGAGCTTCTTGAAATAGCAGCACCCTGTTTGCCTTACCTCTCATTACTTCTAACTCCAGGATATGTACTTTGCAGTCAGACATTGTTTTTTTTCTATGATCAGGAAATATATTGAGCAGTGTTTTAGATCATGTAGAGAGACTGTGATTGGGTTTGGGTTACACTGGTTATTAACTAAGTCACATTATTTGACTCTCAGATTGATTGATTGATTGATTGATTGCTTTTATTTATAGGCCGCCCTTTTCCCTGAAGGGACTCAGGGTGGCTTACAACCTATAGGGAAGGGATACACGTAATGACATATACAGACAATACA